AACAACGACAAACGTTTCTAAGAAGCGCAGAGCTTTCAACACCTTCGATGCGTGCCCGACGACCCAAGGAGCACATCCTATCCCCCGACCCCTCTACCCTTAACCGACCCCATCAACCTCCACGTACGCACTGCTGGCCAGTTATTTTTCACACCTCGACAACATTTTTTCGCACTTGGAGCGGCATATTCGGTTACCACAACAATCAAGCATTGCCGCCACCGCCACGGTATCGGAATGCACTGGAAAAACGAACGAAGTGAGAAGTTTTGTGAGTTTTTGAGCTTTGGAATTTTGGATCCATAAAGAGATCAGAGTTTCCCCAAGAAGAACAACGATATCGATGACATTTCTAGTCTAGTTTCTATTTAAAACACCTTAAGTTTTTCCCCCAGTGTACATACATCTCCCGCTCCAGCTACCATCTGGGAAGGTCCGATTCCAACTGCCGTTTTTAATAACCGAACGAAGCTTCTGCCGCTTTGCTGCTGATTTAGCTGGCTGTTATCTCACTCAGTTCATCGGGATGCGCGGTTCGACTTTGACTTTGGTTTCGGTTTCGGTTGGGTTTTGGCTTTGGCTTTTGCTTTTAGGCCCTTTGGGGCAACGGAGGATCGAGGAGTCGTAGCCGTAGCCGTAGCCGTATCCTGTGTGCCTGTCAGCACATTTCGCGTCGCAATTATCGCAAGTAGCGTGCGTGTAAATTACCGTTATTAGGTGTCAAAAAGCATCTTTCGGATTCATCTCGAACTTTAACTTTAACTGCACCGTCAGCGGTTTCACTTCGCTTTCATTTCACCCCAGAGATCGACTCGAAATTAAGTCTCTCAACCGGCAACAGGCAACCGGCAACCTGTGGCAATCTTACAAGCCAAAGTGACAATTTCCGCTTTTTGATCTCGCCCAGGCGATATCAGCGAAAGGGAACACCCATAAAAAGCCAAATTAATGTGATGACAATAGATTGGGATCGGGTCTCGAATCTGACAGATTTCACGCTTACGATATCGCCACTAGCCCACCGCCGATCCAGTCCATCACGTTTTACACTTGTCCAGGGCGTACGTGAGTGGACTCGGCACTACGAAGTACTTGCCCAGGTTCAGAGGTCACGCGTTGTGTCCTTTCGGTAGCTGCTAGCTGGTGTTTTGAATTCCAATTAGTGTTAATGGATGGCGAGCACATAAAATGTATAATTAATTGTGTCAAAGAGCGATAAGATTTTCGGGATTTGAAAGATGCTTCCGTTGGCAGAGTTCTTCTGAGAAGAGCAACGAATTGATAAATCAATGGAAAAGAAGAGGATCATTGATCCTTTTGCAGTGAATATAAGGGAAACTATGTTTTGATAGAAGCAACAATTTGATAAATCAAAAAATTACTAAGAAAGTACACAGTATACTCCTCATTACAACCTAAACATAACCTTCTTCTGCAGTTTACAACTATCCCTATTCTAATCCCAATCAGATAATCAACGCAAACCAGAATCCTGTAACGTGATAGCATGAGCAACAGATGGCGCTGCAGTGAAGCCAATTGGAGGGATGAAAATGTATAGAGACCGCCACCGATTGGAAATCTGAGAAGGCACTTGACAACCCTGACAATCCTCGATCCCTGATCCTTTGCAACCCCCACGAAAACCAAAAGGATCAACACTTTCCTCATCTCATTCAGTTTAATTAATCACCGAGCTCGGAATCCGCGGCTAATTAAATCGCTACCAAAACATTTTTACTCTTCCCTACACACTTTGTGGGTGTGTTTGGAGCAAATTAAAGAAGGGTTTTCGAAAAGGGTTTGTGTCTAGCCGAGAGGCGTACAGGTGATGACGCAAACGATTTTCGATTTTCGATTTTCATTCAGGATCTAAGAAATACATTAGGAATGAAGTTTTTTCGGTGGCAGCTCTTAAAAAACGATTAAAATTTAAATGGTTGAGTTTTGGTTTGTAAATTTTTGATTTTCTTTTTGGGCGCTTGGGTTTCCTTGGGTTGGGAATCCTACTCCTTCTATTTTCTGATCTCTTTCTGGGCAGCTGCTTTCGGCGGTTTCTTTGGGTTAATCAAGGTTTATGCATTTATGGGTGCAATCTCGTTACCCGACTTGCCCCTTCCCTAACGGTATTGGTACACTGCCTGCCCGGCGCTACAAAGTTGCAGCTCGCAACTTCAGAAAATTTGCCTCAGTTTCTGTTTCGTTTACAGACGATTTTACAGATTTATGAATGCCTCTTTATGGCGATCACGGAGATCGCTGAGGGAGGCCGGGGAAAGAACCTCTCCCTCTTCATGTTGTTAAAACGGAAATAAAACTTCAGAGTCACGAGCAACTCGGTTAATTAGCAGCCATTCTGCACTTTGGCAAATCATTTTGGAGGAACATTAAGTTGCAAGCGATGTGCAAAATTGAATTCGATTATTAAACTGACAAATTCAATTGCAAATTGAGAAAAGGAATATTGAAGAACCCAAAAAGACCCATTTTTAAATATGTGAAAATCCGTCTAACATGATTTTTAGCCACAGAAAATCAGTATTTTGTCCATAACTAAGCCTAAAGTGGTCAGATTATGGAATATCATATATGAATGAACTCTTAATGAAAATTCCTGTCGAGCTGTGTTCACGCCAAGAAAAGTAATTTTTTGTTCGTTTTAATGAAATTTTTATGATTTTCCCCTTGTCGATGTTGCGAATCTTGGTTTCTCCCTATATCTCTCCCAAAAGGACAGCATTTTCCTCGTTACTAAGCCAAAAATGGTCCGATTATGGAATTTTATACCTCGTTCAGCTCGTAATTTGATTTCCAACAAAACTGTGTCCCCACCTTAAAACGTACAAATTTCGACAATTTTCGCAAATTTTAATGTTGGGACCCCTTATCGAAAGTGTGATATTTGGCTTCTCCCCATTTCCCCCAAACTATGGTAGTATTCTCCTCATAACTAAGGGAATAATGGTCCGATTATGGAATGTAATACCTCGATGAGCTCGTAATTTGATTTCCAACAAAACTGTGTCCCCACCTTAAAACGTAAAAATCTTTCAATTTTTCGCAAATTTTGATGATGTTACCCCTTACAGAAAATCCAAAAATTCGTTAAAAATTCAACTTCACAAAATCATCAAACCAGTGATGAGGAAAGTTTGTTTTGGTCGAAAGCTGCTTAAAACAGTCTTTACTTTAGCTCTGAGCCTTGTTTTGGCCAAGTTATAGGCATAAATCCGATGAAAATTGTGCCTTTTTCTGTCGCAACTCAAATCCTGATTGTTGCTCAAAAGTATTCAGAATTATTCTCATGAGAAAGCCAATAATTGTCCGAATATGGAATGTCATACATCGTTGGATTCGTTATTAAAATTCCAGTCGAACTGTGTCCCCACCTTAAAATGTCAAATTTTTGTTGATTTTCAAAATTTTGATGATGTTACCCCTTACCAAAAACCCGAAAATTGTTTAACCCCATTTTTCCCTTCAAGATTACAGAATTTTGTCCATAACTAAGACAAAAATGGTCCAAACTTAGAATGTCATACATCGATGAGCTCGTAATTAAAATTCTAGTCGAACTGTGTTCACACCTAAAAAAGTGAATTTTTAGACATTTTTCAAAAAATGGCGATGTACTCCTTATCGAAAGTGCGAAATTTTTTCAGAAATTGATTTTTCGAAAGTGACCCCAAAATGATACATAAAGTTTGTTCGGTCTTTAGCTGCACAAAACAGTCGACCCTTCAGCTGTAAGTCTCATACTTAACAAAGTTAGAAGTAAAATACTGATAAAAACATAACGAAGACGTAATCTTGACCTTTGCTCGAAAGTAATCAATATTTCCCAAAGAAAGTAAAGCAAAGTTAGTGCAAGTGCAGCGCCTACGTGCATTTTGCCTGCCTGGCGATCACCACAACGGGGGGCTATCGGGAAGGGAGTGCAACTTTAATTGCAACTTCGATCGGTCGCCTTCGTGATCATTTTGTTTTTACTTCGACTCGCGGACACTCGCAGTACTGCGCCCTTGGCATTCATGATGCAGCACACACTTGTGGGATTTGTCTGCCACCGCCGACGCCGACGCTGCCGTCGCCGCCGCCATCGCCTGGCGACATTATTGTTGTGGAGCTTATGCTAATGTATCGGACTGATCGGAAGCACGTGTCAAATGCGGCCGAGACAGAACATCATATTAACAGCAGGGGAACACCGGGGAAAAAAAGTTCAAGGACTGCGAAGGGAAGAAGAGAAAAAAGAGTGGATACGCATTTTGGGAGACAGTGAAAGTGCCTCGACAGCCCCTTTTCATTTCGTTTCGTTTCGCCTTCGCTTCGTTTTCTTTCTCATGATGGATCACATTTTATATCAAGTTCCCTTCCCCTCCTCCTCCTCCTCCCCTCACACTCTCCTTTATTTTTCGCTTTCAATGCAAACGACATTCGACATTCGACAAAAGTGGAAGTGCATTCAAAGTCTTATTTCTTTTTCTTTCGGCCGTGACAAGGATCTTGCAGATCCGAGATTTAAGTCTCGATTTTCCCAAAAAGGAAAAATACATGTCTATGTATGGGTAAGAGTATATTGTAGGCCCAGGGACAGGGACAGGGACAGGGACCCCGGGACACACAAAGGACAAAAAGAGTGTGTGGGAGAAGGCGAGCGAAAGGGACGGATGACAGGCAGGGCAGGCAGTCAAATATAAAGAGCGAGGGGGACAGAGCAGCAGAGGCACCCACCACAGAAAATAAAACCCCTAGAACGAGAGGGAAAAATGATTACGACCCCTTGGTACGATCACTTGTGCAAAGGACTCGGGAATCGGTTTTTTCGAGGCAGGTAGCCAGCCAGCCAGGACTCGACCCTGTCAAAGCAGCAACCCCTGTTGCTCCTCTGTCGAAGTCGCTGCCTCTGCCGCTGCCTCAGCCCTCTGCCCTCAGCCCTCTTCCTCGACGGGTATTTAAGGGCCCAGGCCAGGACAGAAATTATCATTGCGGAATCTGATTCCACACAGTCAACATCTACCAGCAACTAGCACAGCAAGCGCAACTCTCGCAAGGATTACCATGACGAGCATCTGCAGCAACAACTTCCAGCAGCAGCACTATCAGCTGACCAACGGCAACATCATGTTGCTGCAACACCACAACCACCAGCAGCAGCAGCAGCAACACCAGCTGATCGCCCCCAAGATGCCTCTGGGCACCAGCCAACTGCAGAACATGCAGCAGAACCATCAGTCCAACGTTGGACCCATGATGTCCTCCCAGAAGAAGAAGTTCAACTACAACAACATGCCCTACGGCGAGCAATTGCCATCGGTGGCCAGGCGGAATGCCCGGGAGCGCAACCGTGTCAAGCAGGTGAACAACGGATTCGTCAATCTACGCCAGCATCTGCCGCAGACGGTGATCAACTCGCTGTCGAACGGAGGACGTGGTGCCAGCAAGAAGCTGTCCAAGGTGGACACCCTGCGAATTGCCGTCGAGTATATTCGCGGACTGCAGGACATGCTGGACGATGGCACTGGCTCATCCCGTCACATTTACAACTCCGCCGACGAAAGCAGCAACGATGGCAGCAGCTACAACGACTACAACGACAGCTTGGACAGTCCCCAGCAGTTCCTACTGGGCGCCACTCAGCTGAACTCCGCCCAAGCCCACTCTTACCACTCCGCCTCGCCCACGCCCTCGTACTCCGGATCCGAGATCTCCGGCAACGGCTATGTCAAGCAGGAGCTGCCCGAGCAGGACCTTAAGTTCGAGTCTTTCGACAGCTTCAGCGACGAGCAGCCCGACGACGAGGAGCTCCTCGACTACATCTCATCCTGGCAGGAGCAGTGAGTGGATCTCACCGAAAGTTCCCAACAAAACAAACCAAAACACAAAACACAAAACACAAACCACAACAACTTGTACAAATTGTAAATACCTCAAACTGTTGCCTTAGTGAGTGAGAAACCAAGTCCCAGATTCTACACTAGCTCCTAGGTTACCAACCGACCCAATCTTTTTTTTTTTTGACACTAGCCTAAGTTAATGGAAGACAATGATATAAAACCTATTTTTTTCATAGTTCTAAGTTTGTTATAAGCATGGAAGACACTAAACTAACTAGTTCTAAGGCCAAAATAAAACCAAACAAACATCAAAACAGAAAATCAAATCAAAATCTTTTTACTGCGACTCGAAGGATGACTTTCTTCTCCAGGAACCTACAACAGCCCGGTTGGGTTACTTCAAAGATCTTTCAAGACAAGAAGAAAGCCTTTGCGAAGACTTTCTTTTAGCTGCAAGGAAATCGAGGAGATGTCTCTTAGAAAACAGATTGATATGCTGTCAAATCAAGGTTTTTCAAGCATTCAAAGACTGGAACTCCTTGATCCTTTAAAAAGGTAGTGCTAAGAATCTCTACGGCACTTGGATATACCCACTAAACTATCATTGCGATTAGTTAGTTTCCAAACATTCGAGACATGACTCACTATATTTTGCAGGGAGGTTATAGCCATGACAACCCACAAGGAATTCAACACCCGACCGGAAGCAACGGCGAATATTTTCGTGTTTCGCTGCCTAACGAGTTTCAATTTGGCTGGCATTGGCCGGGCATTGTTAATGGCGCGTAAATTGCCCGGAAATAGGCAGTCACGCCTGAGAGGATGAAGTGGTCCTGGTCCAAGGATCGGGGCTCACTGCCGTACTAGCAGGATCGATCCACGTGGCTAGCGCACCCCGCGAATCAGCTTTCTATCAGGCTGGACGACGACGACGACGTCGTCGACGAGCCATGAAATGCACTTCCGCTAACCCTCGAGTTGGGAATGTGCGGTGGCAAACCCACCCCAACGGGGGAAGTGGAAACTTTCGGGCGTGTGCCACAAGCTGATGAGTATGCAGGAATGTCATCTAGGCAGGCAGGCAGGCAGGCAATTGCCACGCCCACCCGACAGCACATTATGCAAATTGCCAATGCCGCTGGACACGTGCAGATCGTTGGTCTATGGCAAAGGTAGGGAAATTGAACGCCAAGGATCAAGCCATAGTCATGATCCCCAGGAGGATGTGATAAAGACAGAGGACGGCTCTGCATAAGACAGGAAGCATATCGTCTTGCCGAAAATTCCAATATTTTACCTCAAAAATAAAAAGATGAGGAAGAGGAAGAGGAAGGGAGGGGTAGGGGTAGGGGTAGGGGAAGGGGCGAAGGATATGTAGGTAGTGGACGAGGACAATGCGGAATGTGATTGTATGTCAGCTTAAGATAAAACCAGGAAACGGAACGAAGACGACGAAGGAGAGTGAAACTCTCTCGTGGCCCATTGTTACCGGATATCAAAAGAAGCTTAGCGCAGAGCAGAGATCCAGAGATCCGGGTTTTGCGAACTCAGGAGTCCGAATCCGAATCCGAATCCCAGTCCCATTCCAAGATAGGTGTCAAAATACGAGGCTAAGCCAATGTCCTCTAATAGGCTAGCCCCGGAGTCTTATGCAATCTTAGCTCACTGTTCGCCAGAAGCAAATAAAGAAGGAATATATCCATTTTCGCCGGCTGATCCCCTCAGATTCAGACTCAGAAAGAAATCAGAGATCACTGAACTGCAGCAATAAATTCATTTGCAGGACCTCTCAGCCAGCGCTCAACCTCTCAACCTCTCAGGAAGTAACTTCTTTTAGTCCTTGTCGCAGGAAGTGCGTATTTGTTTTGCATCTCCTACGGCCAGACCTGACAGACAGAAAGTCCTTCGGCCTGGTCGTTTATTTATTTTTGTAGATGCGCCCCTCGGAAATACGAAATACGAGCCAAATGTTATTCTATCATGTCGCAATTCAAAGGAAACCCAAACCCGCACCCGCACCCGCACCCGCACCAAGGACACTTGTAGTCGTTGTACTTGTACTTGTCCTGGCTCTTCTACTTGCACTCGCTCATGTTCATGTCCCTGTCCATGTTCTTGTATTAACTGCACTTTGAGTTATGTGACTTTATGACGGCGTCGCCGTCGCGATCGCTTCGCTGGCCAAGATTTATGACCCATGTGTCAAAATACGACCCCAGAAGTTCCCTTTTCCCTTCCCCCTGCTTAGGTTGCTAGTCCTGGTCCTTGGACATTCCGTTCAGATGAGATGCTCTTGTTAAATTTCGCACTTAACCAGGCGTCAAGTGGCAGTGGCAGCAGCAGCCAGCAGAAGTAGAAGTCCATCAATAATTCTGGACACTGACTCTCCTTCCTGGTAGCTCGTTAATGAGGCGACACCAAGTGCCACCGATCAGTCCACTGGATCCAATATCTGTCTGACTCTGCAATTGAGTTGTCCTCCAAAGAACTCGGACAAGGCAGTTAAGTGTTTGGATACCAGGAATACCGGGAAGAGTCCTTCTGCCAAAACATTGACTGCTTAAACTAACAAGGAAACGGCTCAGTCGGGGACAAACAAGCCATCATAATGGCTAGAAACTAAGGATCTCTGAAGGATCTAAATACTTTCACTGACATACTAAACTAGGATTAAGACTAAACCAAAACATATCTGTATTTGTCCGATTTATCTGTTGCAACAACCCCATCTAGAGGCTGCGAATCAGCAATCTAATCTCGCCCAGTGGAGAGCCCCTTGTAAAAACGAACATCTCATTTGGCCTGCTCAGCTCCACAGGCATTCCTGCTTCCAGATTAGCTAACAGCATGATATGATGAGTCCTACGTGGATCTGTGGAAATCTGCTATCTGCCGTGCCTCACCCTCGCAATCTTGTTCCTTTATCATTTCGACTTGATTTCATTTTACTTTCCATCCACTGTCTTGCTGCATCGATCACCTTGCCACATTTAGCGCAGTGTGAATTGATGGTAGCGAAGTGACTTTACAGCGTCGGGATGGGAACTTTGACTCGATTGTTGACATGATGGGAAACTGGGAAACTGGTAACTAGAAACTGGGGGAAACTAACCGCAGGATCAACAATGGCGCATAAGAGACAATGCAGCACACGTGTCCGATTCCCTATTTTTCTGATTTCTGATTTTTCCCTCTGACTATGCCGTGCCGGGGTCCAATAAACCATCAGAGGCAATCAATGTCAGAGCGTTTCTAGAGCAAGCGAAAGCCAGATTGTAGAGTCTACAGTCTAGAATCTGGAGTCTACTGGCGAGACAATGGGATGCGCTATCGAAGGATCCATTGAAAAGACTTCACTGGAATATCCTGCGGCCCATTGTCCTCGAATGAAAAGTGATTTCTTCTTTTATTCGGCTGCTGATTTCACGACATCATCGCCGAAAGAAGAAGTGCGCGTTTCACTTTACAACGAACAAGGGCCCATTGATGCGTGAATCTTTGGATCTCCTTCGGTGGGGGATCCATCAAAAGGTCAAGATGCGGGAGATTCCCAAACTCTCGATTCGGAATTCTGGGTTAGAGATTCTCGGAGACGGAGACTCGGGAATCCATTACACGCAAATCACAGCAGCTTTATGGCGTTCCTCCTGGCGGGACATTAGCCTATGGGCCTACGAAAACAAGCGTGTCCGATGTGAAGGTGTCGCTAGGAACGGCCCACCACTGGGCGTGGAAAATCCTCTACCTGTTTCCTCACAGTTTCCCATTCTCGGGAAACTTTCGGGATTCTCCTTCGGCTTCGCGTCGAAATTTGCGAAACGAACAAGTGAAATGGCGTGAAAAACCGGAGAATATCGAACACGTGTTTGTTGTTAGAAGGGCGCGACAAATGTCACGGACTAACGATCTCCGGCAGCGAAGACACAGCCAGATATCAGGGGATATATACTCGGCTATAGCATTGGGCGAATGTAGAAGGAAGGACGGGAGGAGGAAAATACCACAAAGCCTTCAGGAGTTAACAGGGATTTCGGTACTCGGACTTAATAAGTATAAACATGATCATCATTGAGGCGATGTTTAGGTATATATACTATATACTATATCCTATGATTCAGTGAAGATTACCTCAAGGATTCCCCGTAATCCCTTCTGGTTCTCTGGGAACCCTGAACCTGGGAACCTTGTACGAAATGGACAAAACCCGACTTAGAGATTAACTAAAAAATCGTATCGGGAAAATCAGATCAGAGCCAAAAATCACAGAGACAAAGACAGCGAAAACCACAGAGACAACGAAAATAAACCGAGCGCGGGTCATAATCGAGGTTGAGGTTAAGAATTGAGGTTGCGGATGGCTGGTGTCATTCCAGCGACATCTTCAAAGCGTAGTCGCCGACCCGAAACGGAGAAAATGTCAACCACAAGACGGCGGCGATCGATGACGATCTACAATCGAGATTCGCTTTATTTTTCATTCAGAGCATGAAAAGGATAATGATCGAGATGATGACGTTGGCCATTCTGGCCCCGCTCTCGGCCCTTTGATCTGCCCCGATTTTTGGCTAGTTTTCTTTCAGCTCGCTACTTTGTTTTTGCCACTGCCTCCTACGATGCGATAATCGATTTGCCAAATCACAAAAAACCAATGCGCTTTGCCAAAAGTATTGTGAAAACTCCAAACGCTCGCCGCCGCCGCCGCCGCCGCCCAGCCCAGGGAGATTCGTAATGCACATTGAGGTGCATTAAGACGTGAAATTGTCACCATTGTCCTGGCCATTGTCCCCGTTGCAACGGCCCACAGTCAAGCATTCAACATGCAACGGCAATGGCAAAGAGAGCAACTCGGACCAAGGTCCACTCGCAGAAAACACACGAAGATGGGACAAAGTAAGAACTCTATTCAAAAGTTGATATTTTGTGTCTTTTTTCTCAGTGTATCTATCGAAGCAGTCAAAGGTCTTCGCTGCAGCGTTGACAGCATCAAAAGCCTTGTGAATAGGACATTCCCAGGACATTTCTTTCGGCATTTTCCGCTCTCGATTCTGCCGGCATTTATGCAACCGAATTTTCATGGACCGCATGCCACACCCACCGGGTAAAATGTGAAAGAAACCGAAGCAACCGAAGGGCTCCGAAAAAAAGGGAAAAAGACAAAAAAAAAAACGGGGCGTCTACGTTTTAACACCCCAAAAAGAGCAATTCCCTGGTAGAATGCACGTGCACAGCACTGAATGCAAAGATACATTCATGCCAAGATGCATTCAGCCAAAGATCTAAGACCACAAAAATCAAGGTTAAAACTTC